CAGGTACAGACCCCAAGACCTGAAAGCAGGTACAGACCCCAAGACCTAAATGCAGGTACAGACCCCAAGACCTGAAAGCGGGTACAGACCCCAAGACCTAAATGCAGGTACAGACTCCAAGACCTGAAAGCGGGTACAGACTCAAAGACCTGAAAATGGGTACAGACCCCAAGACCTGAAAGCGGGTACAGACCCAAAGACCTGAAAGCGGGTACAGACCCAAAGACCTGAAAGCGGGTACAGACCCAAAGACCTGAAAGCGGGTACAGACCCAAAGACCTGAAAGTGGGTGCAGACCCCAAGACCTGAAAAGGGACACGGGCTCTGACCAGAAACGGGTCCATTGAACAATGTTTTCAGGTGTTCAACTTGTTTTATGTTTTACATTTTATATTTTTTCTTCTTCTGTTTTTTCTTCAGTGTTCCTTCGATGTTCCAGTGAGGAAGACGCTCCTGTCATCATCTTTGTGTCGAAGATGTTTGCTGTGGACTCTAAGGCGCTCCCTCAGTTCAGACAGAGGTACATCTGGTTTCATTCCCTCTGTGTTGAGGAACTCGTTGGAAAGATCTAGATCAGATGTTTGGACAGAATCAGACTCAGGAAGGTCCAGTTTGGTTGTGTATACTGTAAATATAAATGTTCTATAAATAAACTTTATGTTTCAACAGCAGCCAGCATGAGTTCAGGGCAACAGAAATAAAAGTTAATTACCGTAAAACAACATTAGAGATTAAAGTTGCAAATGAAACTGTTGGAGAAAATATTCTCACTTTATCTCACTTACTCAAAGGAGCCACACTCGACAGAAGATTTTCAACCTGTTTTTACTTGCGAGGACTGATTTTCAGGACACGTTACACAGATATACAGGAAGTACATGCATGAAGGTCAATGGGGAATTATTTTTACAAATTAAAGGCACAGCCATGTGCAAAAAGTTTGCCCCTGCTTAAGCAGATCTATTTACGACCGAATGGAAAAACTCAGCGTTGTCAAAAGAAACCTATGCATTACTACAGGTACTTAGACGATATGTGGGGAGTCTGGACCTACTCAGAGAGGGACTTTAAGGACTTCTTGGACTCACTAAACACACGACATCCATCCATAAAACTTAGTCACTACCAGTTACACAACAGTTGATTTCTTGGACACAACTACTGGTTCTTATAAAGGCCCTCAATTTAACACATGCAACAGGTCGGATGTTAGTCTTTTTTAACAAAACTGACACACACTCATTACATACATACGTAAAGCCAGCCACCACCCAACACACACATGCTGGATTAATAAAGTCACAGCTATTGAGATTCCACAGAAGCTGCACACAGTAATCTGACTTTAAAGCTGCAACCAAGCTGCTGTTTCATGTTTCTCCACAAGAGGGCACTCGAGGTCTTTCCTGAGGAAATGTTTAAAAACCTTCCTGCAAACCAGACCTACTGTTGTAGCAACCTGTTCTCTGTCTGCAGTACAATTAGTCAAAAATGTAAAAAAAAAAAAAGAACTTTGAGCAGTTTAAAGGAGAAAGCCAGATTCTAACAAATCACAAAATTATTGTGACTTATAGAAGAAGTAAAAACTTTAAAGACTATTTAGTTCATGCCAAATTAAAACCCCTAACTGCCCCGAAGGTCAGAGGTCGCCATGAGTTTTTTCAACAAAACAAATTTAACAAAAGGGTGTTTGCAACTGAACGTAAGGGCAACGCCAAAACAAAAAACTGTACCTTCTTATAGCTCCTGCGTTGAGGTGAGCCTCAACCTGATCCGATCTTTGAGGTGAGCCTCAACCTGATCCGATCTTTGAGGTGAGCCTCAACCTGATCCGATCTTTGAGGTGAGCCTCAACCTGATCTGATCTTTGAGGTGAGCCTCAACCTGATCCGATCATTGAGGTGAGCCTCAACCTGATTCGAACTTTGAGGTGAGCCTCAACCTGATCCAATCTTTGTGTTTTAGACCCTTGAACCTGGAGGAGATCGCTCAGCGCCGGGAGCTGGCCCGGCAGAGACACGCCGAGAGGATGGCGTCTAATCGGACCGGGACAGAGGTCACCTGCTCAGAACCAGCTGCTGGTCCCAGCTCAGGTGAGGGTTCAGTTACCTGTAGTCCCTGTCCTTGTGTGTGTGCGTGTGCTGTTAACAGAACCACATCGCTCTAGAAGGAAAGTGTTTGGTTCTAACCTGACCTCATATTTGTTGTTTCTCCTTCTTTCAGCTCAGATGGAAACTTTGACACTAACGGACTCAAAAGCGGAGGAGGAAGAGGAGTCGAAGGAGGTCTTCATCGCGTTTGCTCGGGTGTACAGCGGGATGGTGAAGAAAGGTCAACGGTTGTTTGTGCTGGGACCCAAGTATGACCCGGTCCAGGGCCTGCGTTCGGTAAGACCTTCGGTCTGATGGATCTCCTGAGTTTTTGTGTGTCGTGCTCAGAGATCACTGCTCCTCACGAATGCAGGAACCAGTTTCTCATTTTGCTGAAGGACTCTTCAAACCTAGTCCAGTCTGGAGGGTCTCGGTTCTGTGTCTCAGCGTCACATAGATTCAGAACATGTTGGAAACAAACTTTCTCTTCGAGTCGTTGCGGCGTCTTGAATTTGCTGTTAGGCATGTTAGGCTGATTGTTAACTAAATTGTCTCTAGGTGTGAGTGAGAGCGTGAATGGTTGTTTGTCTCATTTGTCTCTATGTGTCCCTGTGATGGACTGGAGACCTGTCCAGGTGTCCCCCGCCTCTCGCACAGTGAGAGCTGGACATGGGCACCAGTGACCCCCGCAATCCAAAAAAGAAGAAACAAGTAAAGCTAATAAATGGATGGATGAATACTTAGGGAGTTTTCTGAAATATTTGGATTGTTTCTAATCTTTTCCAACATATTGCAGCTTCCAGAGGGCTGCAGAGCTTCAGACTGTGTGTCTGAGGTTCCTCATCTCTCCTGCTGTTCTGTGGAGAACCTTTACCTTCTCATGGGCAGAGAGCTGGAGGAGCTGCAGGAGGTTCCTGCTGGAAATGTTCTCGGTAAATAAATATGACTGTCCTTTGGTCCAGTTTGCTTTTGGGACCTTTTATATTCTCACTTCCTTAGAGATCCTTAGATCCAGAGAGCAGCAGGTTCAGAGATACATCCTGCCATGTCAGGAACTGAGTCTTTGGTGTTAGTCTGGAAACCCTTTTTTAAATAAGCTTTAAACAAGCAGTTGCTGAGTGAAAACTAAAATGTATTAATATGTGGTTTACCTATGAACATTAGGAGAGTTCAGTAGTCATTATCTTAAAATTTCATGTTTCTAAAGCCATTTTGTAGAAGGTATGACATTCATTTATTATGGCAGTCAATAGAAGTTTGTGTGTTCTCTGCCTTCTACTGAGTGTAGAAAAAGCCTTGAGTCATAAAGATATATCAGAAAAGTTGGCAGGAAGACCTTGTTTAAATAAATTGCAGGTACATTTTAGATGTATTGCACGTGTGTTTTAGGTATATTGCAGACATACTGCAGGTGTATTTTAGATATGTTACAAGTGTGTATTTACTTGACATCCCCTAATATGTGTAAACTTCAAAGTAATGCTTTAGCTTTATTTAAAGCATGTTTGCTGCTTTAAAGAAAAGTAAAGCATTACTTGGAAGATTTCATGAATTTCCTTCCCTGTCAGTCAAAGTTTAGGGGTTGTTTCCCATTAGAGGCAGTGCTCTGAGGATGTTTTCTTCCAAAGGAGGTGGAACATCTAGGTTGTTAACCTCTAAAGGAGGCAGTGAATTTGTTTTCCCCTTTAAAATGTGAAGCTCAGAGATTGTTTCCCCTAAAAGAGGCGGAGCATCTAGTTTGTTTCCCCCTAAAGGAGGCGGAGCATTTAGTTTTTTCCTCCTAAAGGAGGCGGAGCATTTAGGTTGTTTTCCTCCTAAAGGAGGTGGAGCATCTGGGTTGTTAACCTCTAAAGGAGGCAGTGAATTTGTTTTCTCTTTTAAAATGTGAAGCTCAGAGATTGTTTCCCCTAAAAGATGCTGCGCATCTAGTTTGTTTCCCCCTAAAGTAGGCGAAGCATTTGGTTTTTTCCTCCTAAAGGAGGCGGAGCATTTAGGTTGTTTCCCCCTAAAGGAGGTGGGGCATCAAGGTTGTTTTCCCCTAAAGGAGGTGGAGCTCAAAGACCGTTTTCTCCTAAAGGAGGCTGGGCTCAGGCTGTGTTCTACGTGTTTGCTGGTAATTTAAGTCTGGGATAGAGTCCCCATTTCTTTGAGGACAGACTGGATATGAAGAGAACCACTGTTCATATTCTCTCGCCAGGCTCTGCCTCTGATTTACCCAATCATTGATCCTGGATGAGGCCAGGCCAATACTGTAAATAAGAATTTGTTCTTAGTGTTTATGCCTGGTTAAATAAAGATGAAATGAAAAATCCATCACCTGATCCTCTATGAATCAGAAATAGTCATGACACAGCGAAACTGAAACCTGAGTTCTGTGAGGTTTTTGAGAAGTGATGTCTCACTAAACTCTGGTACTGATGCTCACTTTGAGCCCAGAGAGGCATTAACAGGCTGAAAGGTTGGGTCATAGTCCCGAGCCTTGAGACTGTAACTTTGCTTCAATTGTGTTTCCAGCTGAAAGTTATTTTTTTGTAGAAATCAGTCGAACACTACACAGTTTAAAATTGAATGATTCTTTTCAGTCAGTTCACCCTTCTGTTCAGGAATTAACATTAAGATTAAAGTAAACTCATTTAGAGCTGGAGATTATTCTGCATCACTTTATTAAGATAGTTTAGTTTAAGCATTTATGCTTAGTCGAATAAAAGACTGTTTGTGTAAAACATCATGTGTTCTGTGTTCTTGTGTTCTAATTTGTAGAGAACCATATGGTTTTATGTTCTAAAATGGAAATCTTAAAATAAAAACTGTTGCTGTTTCCATGTGTTCTTGGTCCTGCAGGTCTTAGAGGACTGGAGGACTTTATCCTGAAGTCTGCCACCCTGTCGACCTCCCCCGCCTGCCCTCCCTTTACCCCACTCAACTTTGAAGCCACGCCCATCGTACGTGTCGCCATAGAGCCCAAACATCCGGGTGGGTACCAGAAGGTGTTCCTCACCTGGTTCTGCCTGTGTTCAGTTTGTGGAATAACATTTCAGAAAAAAACTCATGTCTTTAACTCAGCCTGTTAGTAAAATATCTCATAAGCCAGTGGACGAAATGAAACTCAAGGGCAGTAATGATTGGGTGAACAACTTCCTCATCTTCCTCTTAAGAGAACCTGTGTGGACGTTCTGGGTTGGCGTCCTCACGTTCTCCTCTGCAGCAGGACGTTCTGTGGACCCAGAGGAGAACTTGCTGCAGATCCTGCTCAGGTTCAAACCCGTTCCTCTTTCTGTGTCGTTTCAGGTGAGATGCCGAAGCTGGTACGCGGGATGCGTCTGTTGAACCAAGCGGATCCTTGTGCTGAGGTTCTGATCCAGGAAACAGGAGAACATGTTCTGGTGACAGCTGGTGAGGTCCATCTGCAGCGCTGCCTCGATGACCTCAGAGAGCGGTGAGTTCTTTTTCTTCTCTTTTTGTTGGACGAACAGCGAGACGTATTTTGGTTTTGGCTCCACCCATAACTTCTTCTCCACTCAACAGTTTAATGAAATTTCATCTCCATCTGCTTCATCACTAGACGGAGGCTCTTGTACACATCCATCACCTTAGATTCAAGGTCAAAGTTAAAACCAGGTCTTTACTTGTCCAGTCCATTGCTATAGATTGCTGTCGAACGCGGTGCGCTTGTTAGGTCATATTTTTATTTTAGACCAGGTGTTAAAGTAAAATGATTGAAAATAAATAGTTTAAATGTTAGTTTGTGTCCCAGGCTTTAAAACATTATATTTTTTTACATTTACCCTTTATTTGTACAGGTAGTCTCATTGAGTCACGAGAACTCATTTTCAAGAGAGACCTGTTTTTGAGAGCAAATGGTGGGGGTTAAGAGCCTTGCTCAAGGGCCCAGAATGGGGCAAATGAGGGTGGAGGCAGGTGCGGGTGTTTCACCTTTTCCACCCACATTTCGATGTTGACGGTACCGGGAGGTGAACCAGTGACTTTCCGATCACAGGCCCATCTTCTCTAACCTCTGTGCCACCACTCCCCACATTGTTTTCTTTACGTCTGCTGAGATGACTCGTTTCTGTTTTGATCTCGGGATAAAACCTTCTGAGATCGACATGGAAGAACCCAGAGTTCCTTCTTGCTGCTCTTTAACCGTTTTTCTGTTTAAAGGTCTTAAATGTCCATTGCAGAGTTTCACAGATTCCCGTCTGTCTGTGGTATGGGTAGAAATTGAGGACCAACCAACCCCCCACTGCGGTGTGTGTGGTGTGGGCTTGAAGTCCTGGCGCAAAGCCAAACTGTTTGATCACCACCATCTTTTCCTCCTGTTCCAGTCCTAGATAAAACAGAAGAATCGTTTGTTTGTTTGTTTGTTTGTGAAGGTTTGCTAAAATCGACATCAGCGTGTCAAAGCCTATCATCCCCTTCAGAGAGACTGTGGTTCGTCCTCCCAAGGTGGACATGGTGAACGAGGAGCTTGGCAGACAGCAGAAAGTTGCTGTTATTCATCAGGTGAGTCCCTGCAGGAACAGAACCATGGGTCATCAGGAGGTTCAGAGAAGTTCTCTTCATTTTGTTTAAATACGGCTTATTACAGAACCTGAGTGGACCTGGACAGGTCAGAAACACCAGGTGGTATAAAATAAACTTTTTAAGTTTTTCTTTTCAGGTGAAAGAAGAGGTTCCTCAGGGTCGTGTATCTGATACCCTGCATGTTGACACTGGTGGTCTCATTACCCTTACCACTCCCAACAGACAGGCCACTGTCAGCGTCCGGGCCATCCCCTTACCACAAGGTAAGACTCAGACCTAAACTCAGAACCAGAATCTGACTCAAACACAGGCTCATTCCAGATCAATTCTGACAAGTGGATCGGTAAGTGGGTCGGTGGGTCTGAACTTCTAACTGGTTCTGTAGTTTTCATAGAAAAGTAAAAAATAACAGTTTGTAAAATCCAGGCTATAATGCTGTTTCTCTTCACAGAGGTCACCAGTCTGTTGGAGAGAAGTTCTGAGATTATCCGGACTCTGGAGCTGATCAACATGTCCCTTAGGGAGGGCAGGACTGTGGATCTCAGTCGCAGGACCCTGGAGGACATTGCTGGACTGAAAGTCCAACTAGAGACTTTATTGCAGGGATGGAAGTGGAAGAACACCATAGATCGGATCTGGGCTTTTGGTCCTCGCAGGTCTGACTTTATTGCTTTAACTCTTATAGAAACAAACAAACAAAAAAAAAAAACCCAATAAAATCCCTCAAAACAATTGATTTTATTTTTACCAAGATTTTATTGTGTTTTATTTTTATTTTTTCTGGGGGAGAGGTGTCTAAAGGAGACTGTCTCCTTGACTGGAGTTCTTAATGGAGACTGTTTCCTGGGTTAGGGCTCTACAAGAGACAGTCTCCTGGGTTGGGGCTCTAAAGGAGATTATCTCCTGGGTTGAGTCTCTACAGGAGACAGTCTCCTGGTTTGGGGGTGTAAAGGACCTTTAAAACTGACTATGTTTAATCGATAATTCCAGATCAACACAGCCATGTTCCAATGTTTTTATTCTTTCAGGTTCGGTCCAAACATTCTGCTTAACAACATTAAGGACTACACCCGGCCCTCGGTGTGGCAGTGCCTGAGTTGGCTGGACAGAACTGATCTAGATGCAGCTCCAGTTCCTGCTTTTAGAGACCTTGACAACAGTATTGTCAGTGGATTCCAGCTGGCGACTCTGTCGGGTCCTATGTGTGAGGAACCCCTCATGGGGGTCTGTTTTTCTATCGAAAGGTGGGACGTCCTGTCTTCAGCTCATCAGAATCCCCCAAAGAGTCAGACTTCAGAGACTTCAGCAGACGGCAGCGAGGATGGGACGGCGGGGTCCCAACAGAGAACAGACTCTTCGGACTGCTACGGACCGGTTTCGGGTCAGCTCATCGCCGCCATGAAGGAGGCATGCCGCCATGCCTTCCAGGCTCAGCCTCAGAGGCTCATGGCTGCCATGTATACCTGTGAGATCATCGCCACAGCAGATGTGTTGGGTAAGAAAAGACTTTAATCACAAATGTTTATCACCAGAGTCTGAAGGACTCTGTCAAGTCAAGTCAAGTCATCTTTATTTGTAGAGCACAATTTAAAACAGATAAACTGTTATCAAAGTGCTTAACAGAAATGTAGCAAAACATAGGCAGCAAAACAAAAACATCATACAGAATTAAAATTACTGGAGCAATAACACACACTAATGATCACACTAAGGAAAAACAAGCAGTAAAAATAAACGTCAATCATAAAACAACAGAATTTAAAATGAGGTACACAGAACAAAATAAACTAACTCACACCGTATTAAACGCCAGAGCAAACAGGTGCGTTTTAAGGAGGGATTTGAACATCAGGAGGGAGGAGGCCTGCCTGATGTTGAGGGGCAGGTTGTTCCACAGGTTGGGACCTCTGACTGAAAAAGCTCGATCCCCTCGGAGCTTCAGGCGTGATTTTGGAACGACCAAAAGAAGCTGGTCCGATGATCTCAGGGCCCGAGACGGAACATATGGTTCCAGGAGCTCGGAGAGGTAGAGTGGTGTGAGGCCATTTAGGCACTTATATGTCAGGAGGAGAATCTTGAAGTCGATTCTGGATCGCACAGGAAGCCAGTGAAGGGAGGACAGAACAGGTGTGATGTGCTCAGACCTACGTGTACCAGTTAAAAGCCGAGCAGCTGTAACGGACCACGATCTGTGGTCTGAAGGACAGTTAGAAACGTGACTAGAATTTTCCAATCTACCAATACACCCATGGTCCTGCCGCTGAACATGTCCAAAGTACGGTCTCTCCTCTAGACGTATACAAACGACTGTCCCTCCTCTGGACATGTCCAAACCATTTCAATCTGGCTTAACTAACTAACTTTATCTCCCATTTATTCAACCTGTGCTGTACCTCTGATGATCTCATTCATAATCTTATATGAGAACCTCAATATCTTCCTTTCTGCTGCTTCCAGTTCTGTTTCTTGTCTTTTTGTCCATGTCTATGTCTCCAGACCATACAACATAGCTGGTCTCACCACTATATTTTAATCAATCAATCAACCTTTATTTATACAGGTAAATCCCATTGAGCCTCGAGGACTCATTTACAAGAGAGACCTGAAAAATTTTAAACCTTTCCTTTGACATTTGCTGACACCCTTTTGTCACAAATCACTCCTGAAACATTTTTCCATCTACTCCATCCTGCCTGGACTCTCTTCTTCACCGCTTTACCACATTCCTCTTTTTCCTGGACAGTGGACCCCAAGTACTTGAAGTCCTGTACCTTTGTGACCTCTGCTCCTTGTAGCCTCACTGTTCCACCAGCCTCCTTCTCATTCACACACATGTACTCTGTCTTACTACGGCTGACTTTCATTCCTCTTCTTTCAAGTGCATACATCCACCTCTCTAAGTTCTCTTCCACCTATTCCCTGTTCTCACCACAGATCACAATGTCATCTGCAAACATCATAGTCTACCGGGATTCCTGCCTGACCTCATCTGTTAGTCAGTCCATCAGAGCAAACAAGAAGGGGCTCAGAGTCGATCCTTGATGCAATCCCACCTCCACCTTGAAGCTATCTGTCACTCCCACAGCACATATGTATATATATATATATATATATATATATATATATATATATATATCTTGTACCAGTCTAACATACTTCTCTGCCACTTCAGATTTCCTCATGCAATACCACACCTCCTCCCTTGGCACTCTGTCATATGCTTTTTCTAAATCCACTAAGATACAATAAAGTTCTTTCTGAAACTCTGTACTTCTCCATCAGCATCCTCAAAGCAAAGATGACATCTGTGGTGCTCCTTCTTGGCATGAAACCATACTGCTGCTCATAAATTGTCACCTCTCGTCTAAGTCTAGTTTCCACAACTCTCTCCCAGATCTTCAGTGTGTGACTCATCAACTTAATTCTCCTGTAGTTGCTACAACTCTGTACATCAACCTTGTTCTTAAAAATGGGCACCAGCACACTTCTCCATTCCTCAGGCATTTTCTCACCCTCAAATTTGCCATTGAATATTTGAGTAAAAAACTTCACTGCCATCTCTCCAAGACATTTCCAAACCTCCTCTGGTATGTCATCAGGTTCTACTGCCTTCCCCTTCTTCATTCATTTTAGAACTTTACAGACTTCACCCTTGCTAATCTTTCCCACTTCCTGGTCCACAGTCTCAGTGACACCTGTCCATGGTCGGAGGCCACGAGAATATCATTAGTAACTTTCACCAGTGCAGATTCAGAGTGCTTTGGTGAGCACTAAACCCTGACTGAAACTCTTCAGATAATTTGTTGTTGTTGTTGTTCAGAGGGAAATCCTTAAAGGATACATTTTTTGACATCAGGATTTAATTTAAAATTTGAAGCTCGTATCAGAGAGAGCTCTGGAATCAATGACCCATTCAAACGGGTCTCATCAGACCAGACCAGTTGGTCTGCTGTGGTTCTATCTCATCTTTCCTTATTTCAGAGGACACATCTTAAAATGATCAGATGTTTTGTCAATGGTTCGACCTCCTGTGTTGTTGTTTCTGATCCGATTTAACTGGGTTTTAAGTTGTGGTTCTTAAAAATACAAATTAAAGGACTAATCATGTGAGTTATTTTTTTATTTTTTATTCTCAGGCTGTTTCTTTACTCGCTTGCTTCTTTGTTGTCAGCAATTTCGTGTTGTCATGGTGACAGCTAGGGAGTTATACTTTTTACTTAAAAGTAATAGATCTTTTATTAAAATCTGGAATTATGTGAGACACTAATGATTTGTTCCTGTTTGTGCTCCATCAGGACGGGTTTACGGCGTCCTCGGGAAGCGAGAAGGTCGAGTTCTCCACGAGGAGATGAAGGAAGGGACGGACATGTTCATCATCAAGGCGGTCCTCCCCGTCGCTGAGAGTTTTGGCTTTGCTGATGAGATCCGTAAGAGAACGAGTGGATTGGCCAGTCCTCAGCTGATCTTAAGCCACTGGGAGGTGAATTACACTCAGATCAATCCTACATTTATCTTCAAAGACCCTGTTAATGTAAAGAACTTAGAAACTCAGTCCATTGTTAGGACTGAAGAGGCCTTTTTGTCATCTCCTAATTATGTTTGTTTCCTCTTCCTGTCTGCGTTCCAGGTGATCAGCAGTGATCCATACTGGGTTCCCACCACAGAAGAAGAATATCTGCACTTTGGAGAGAAAGCAGATTCTGATAACCAGGCCCTGAAATACATGAACGCTGTCCGCCGACGCAAAGGTCTTTATGTGGAGGAGAAGATTGTGGAGCATGCCGAGAAGCAAAGGACCCTCAGCAAGAACAAGTAGAAGGAAGCGAACTGTACAGTCACTGCGCTTTCTACCGTACGGTTAGACTGCGGTTTTTACCTTACGGTTAGACTGTGCTTTCTACCGTACGGTTAGACTG